CTGTGCAGAAGAGAGAGAGAGAGACTGTGTTAATCCTGCAGGAGGTAAATGATGATGAAAATTATGTTGATTCATGATGATTATGGAGGAAGGAAGAAGAGGAGGAAGATGGAAGAGCAAAAGGAGGAGAAAGAGGGAGAAACGGTGCAGGACGTGGAGAAAATGAACGAATAATTGTGGAATCATTTTTGTGCCTGAGGTTTCTGGCTCGTGTGACTTGTTTTTTTGATAGAGCGTTGGATTCCAAGTGTTGGTGTATATGGGCGATTAGATTTTTTTTTGTCAGAAGCACTGACTTACCCATAGGTCAGAGCGAAATAAAAATTTTAATGATTTAACTACCGGTGGTCAGTCAAACATACCTAGAGAAGAGACAGAATTCCAGGGAAGGGATCGGTGACTTACAAGACTTACAAAAATTACCAGAATACTCAATCCTGTACCTCGATTCCTTCCGTCTGCACGACACACCACACCAGGTTAACACTTGTCAATCAATAACCTCTTATTAAAGTCAGACAATGACGGCGGAATTGTGTTAGCCAGTTTAGTATCATCATTATTCACCCCATATCCATGCTGGAGGCGGGAACGGGTACGGGGACTCATAATGCGTCTAGTGACTGGGGCTCAATGTTTTGATAGATAAACAAATCACTCTGGTAGCGAACTATGTATTTGCAAATTAATATTCTTGCAATAATCGTGATTAGTTGTTTGTTCGTGTAGACGTGAATTAGATGGACAAACTTCTCCTGATGTGGGTGTTAGTAATGCGATGGTTCACTCCCTGGTTCGCTTATTTCTTGAGATGCAGACACTTTCCCATTTGTCGAAAGAAAAATGTAAACTCGGATTTTATAAAAGCTGTCCTTGTCACCTTGACAATTTCTGCTAAGAAAAGGCAAATGTACACAATATACATACATACATGTGTGTGTGTGTGTGTGTGTGTAAGGAGTCTCGATTATCCATACATAAAGGTTTAAGTTCTTCGCGCTCATCTATAACAACTCCTGGAAGACAGACTGGTACCCAGCTCATTGGGTAAAGAATCAATGTAGCAAAAGCTTCGCGAAATCCTTCTCCTCCTGCTCTTTACAACACATGAGTAACAACACGAGGTATGATAAAGCTCAGGGAGCAGAGAGTGAACCTAGTAGCGATCAGTGAAGAGGCGGGGCCAGGAGCTGAGTCTCGACCCCTGCAATCACAATTAGGTGAAGGTGAGTATACACACACACACATAAAACACACACACCTCCCTACTCACACACGCACTTACACACACATACACGCACACATATACAACAGGCCTAGTGCCTAATTGACATGTGCCTATGACAAAATGGTAACTAACTATTGGCTTTATTTTCCACGAAACGAACACAGATTGAGTGTTCACCTTGCTGGCACTAACAACGCTCTTTCGTGCCATGTGAGGCACCATGGATGACAGACGCCGGCTTGTTCAATCGGCCCTCACACACAACAGTCCTATCATAAGTCTTACATCCTCTAATCTGTATCCGATTCTCTCTGCCAGTATATCGCCAGTTGCCCCAATCTTCAGGGCTAACGTGACACCTGATTTCGTTCTCATGTCCTGACCTTGGCTACCTTCTCACTTCCTAATAACCTGAGCTGGCTCATAGTTGTCTCCTTTTTCTTTTTGATTCGCGGCTTGAGTTTGGTTCAGGACGACCCGAACGCTGCCTAGTTTTTTTTTCCTCTTTCCTATTTATGCGTTATTAGCGGTTCCTTCGTTCTTTTAATTTATCATAATATTCATACCATCATGCCCATCAAAGATCATGCTTCACGTTTATCAAAGATCATGCTTCATGTTCATCAAAGATCATGCATCATACCCATCAAAGATCATGCATCATACCCATCAAAGATCATGCATCATACCCATCAAAGATAATGCATCATACCCATCCAAAATCATGCAACATACCCATCCAAGATCATGCAACACACACCTACCATAAACAGTGCCTCACAAGCCCAGATCAGACTTCACATAAGCTATAACGTGCTGCAGCCAATCCAAATCCCTCTTGAAATTGAACATCATCACAACCCGGGTGGAACCAACCATAGTTGCTCGTCTCTGGAAATAACGTTATTGCTCTTGATTGGAAATTTATACGTATTCGTCACTTTCAAACGAAAAAAAAGCGTAATTTAATAACTGTTTGGAGAGCGAACGAGTAGCAACAACCGCTTTGTATGTTATACGTGATGACCATTCATATATGATAATTGAATTATTTGTTTTATAGAGTGAATTTTAATTAAGACGATTACTGAGTAAAGGGGATGTGCTATATACACTCTCAGTGTATATACGCTGAGAGGTGTATGTCTCTCAGTGTATATACGCTGAGAGGTGTATGTCTCTCAATGTATATACGCTGAGAGGTGTATGTCTCTCAGTGTATATACGCTGAGAGGTGTATGTCTCTCAGTGTATATACGCTGAGAGGTGTATGTCTCTCAGTGTATATACGCTGAGAGGTATATATCTCTCAGTGTATATACACCGAGAGCTCACTTCAATTCCTTCTTAATGAATTAAAGTATTCTTCACTGGTGGCGAGCAGTTGGTATGTTGTCTTGATAACCCCTCTGATCAATCGACAGATTCTAAACCTAATTAATATCCGATAACACGTACAGTACTCTGGATACGACCAGCAGCGTCTCCTGGCTCCTTGTTCAGCTCTATAGTATCTTTGAAATTGTGGAAGTTGAACGCAGTTGAGGGACTGACCCTCCATTCTCCAGGTTGAACGACTAATCACATTATGTTCAAGTCTCCACAACATCTGCTGTCTCCTCTGTATTTCGACTGAAGAACCCTGCTGAGTAGCTGAACGCTTAGCTACTGATGGTACCAAACAGCAGCACATGTGTCTTACTCATCTGCTTCAACCTCAACAAGATTTTATGTACAGGAATACCCAAGGTTCGTCAGTGTTTCAGCTCAGCAATGTTTCAGGTTCAACACTGCTTCAGGTTCAACACTGCCTCAGGTTCAACATTGCTTCAGGTTCAGCACTGCTTCAGGTTCAGCACTGCTTCAGGTTCAACACTGCCTCAGGTTCAACATTGCTCCAGGTTCAGTCTGGCCGACATTACTGCAACATTGATATCCGTTCTTCTCTGTACTCTGGTTGCAGCTGCCAGTGGCCTCTTACCCCTCAAAATTGCAGCACCGCTGATCCTTTTTTCAACGAACCATCATTTACCGAGAATAAACAATGAAAATTTTTTGTATTCTCTGTCTGTCTCTGTCTCTCTTCCTCTCTGTCTCTGTCTCTCTCATACCTGACTATAGTTGCGGGATCTCATTAGTTTTTATAAGTTGCAGGAGTGAGGGCAAAAGACTACTCTGTGGTGATCAATCTTCATCAGGGGGCAATATCCTGGTCTGCCCCTACTGGTTACCTGCCGAGGGGAGGGGCAGGAGATTCCCCTCATTATGAACTCATTTCCCTTCACGCCCTGAGGACCTCCTACGGAGAGGAGATGCGGAGAGGGGGGGAGAAAAGGAGAGAAGAGTCGAGGATAGGAAATGGAGAAGAGAGACAACATAGAGAGACGAAGAGGAGGAAAGGTGGGGAAATGAATGGAACCGCCAGATTGAATAGTGACCAGGTGAAGGGGAATGAAAGGAAGGGCAGTAATCACGGGCTGATGAGACGACGAGAAAGAGGAGACGGACTGGTGTGGTGTTTCTGTTCACCCATAAAAGACTGATGAATAAAGGGGAACGTGTGAACACAGAGGCTGAGAGACGTAAGCTTGAAACACTACTTAGGGGAAAATGCACAGCAAAGGGCAAAACACACAGGAAGGGTTCAAAAACACTAACAGAGGGCAGTAAAACACACAAAGAAATGGAGCTAAAACACATAAGGAAAGGGAGGTAAAACACATAAGGAAAGGGAGGTAAAGACATAAAGGGAGGTAAAACACATAAAGAAGGGAGGTAAAACACATAAAGAAGGGAGGTAAAACACATAAGGAAAGGGAGGTAAAGACATAAAGGGAGGTAAAAACACATAAAGAAGGGAGGTTAAAACACATAAAAAGGGGGGTAAAGCACATAAAAAGGGAGGTATAACACACACACATACACACACACACACTCGCACAGGGGGGGGTGAAACACACATAGAAAGGGGTTAAGTAAACGGGAAAAGAGTTAAAAACAGACGGGAAAATGGTTAGTCATAACAGGAAGAGGCAAAACAATGGATAAATTGATAAAACACACACAGGAATTAGTAAAACACACACGGAAAATTGTAAAGCCCCAACAGGAAAGAGTAAAATACACCCCACACTCACGGGACACATTTCACACACACACACACACACACACACACACCCCACACACACACACACACACACACACACACACACACACACAAAACACCACACACACACACACACACACACACACACACACACACACACCACACAAAACCCCACACACACACACACACAAAATAACACACACACACACACACAACACCACACACACAAACACACACCATACACACACACACACACACTACAAAGAGACCTGGACAGGCTACAAGCCTGGTCCAGCAACTGGCTCCTTGAGTTTAACCCTGCCAAATGCAAAGTCATGAAGTTTTGGGGAAGGGCAAAAAAGACCGCAGACACAATATAGTCTAGATGGCCAAAGTCTGCAAACTCACTCAAGGAAAAAGATCTGGGGGTGAGTATAACACCGAGCATATTCCTGAGGCGCACATCAATCAGATAACTGCTGCAGCATACGGGCGCCTGGCAAACCTACGGATAGCGTTCCGATACCTCAGTAAGGACTCACTAAGACTCTGTATACCATTACGTCAGGCCCATACTGGAGTATGCAGCACCATTTTGGGAAATCCAACCTAGTCAAGCACGTCAAGAAATTAGAGAAAGTGAAAAGGTTTGCAAAAAGACTAGTC